CCGCCCAGAACAAAGCGGCCTGCTGAGCTCCGCCCCCTACAGCTCCACCCAGAACAATGACTCTTATCAACCATCGCGCAGCTCCTCAGTTTTATTCGGTAGTTTGCATAAAGTCATAAACCTGCATCAGCGGCACGCGGACCCCAGCCAGCAGGGCCAGGGAACTGCGGTCGGCGCCCGGCGCCTGGTTCAGCTGGTAGTTGATGGGGCCAGGGACCCTGAGGAGCGCCGCCACCGCTGCCATCACACCTGGAATGTTCTGTAGACGGTAAACAGACTCAGGTTACATGGAGCCATACTGACCGTTCACACACACATCTGGAGGGAACAGCCGTCTACCTGAGAGGCAGCCGGGTTCAGCGTGATCGCTATGGTAACCAGGTCGGTGTTGGAGCAGGTGGATGGGGCCTGGAGGTGTGGTTCTGCCTTCACCTCTGGTTTCACTGCCAGGCCTGTAGACAGATGGGAGGTCAGCAGCGGAGGGAAACGGAGCAAACAGCTAAGGAGCTTCAGTTGCTAACCTTTGCCCAGAGAGCAGGAAACGACAGGTAATGTAGGCGAGGGGCAGGGGGAGGGCGGCTCCAGCTTGATGAAGGACAGATCAGGGTACCTGCTGACCTCCACGTCCGCCACGCTCTCTGGAGACGACGATGGCACGAACCCCTCAGGACTGCGGCATTCTGGCTCCTGGACCCTGGAACCGCCCACCATTACAATCAGTCCATGTGCGTCACCAGAGGTATCTGCCCAGAGGGCGGAGCTTACCTGAGATCCTCCTGGTTGTTATGGGGCGGCGTGGGCAGAGACGCAGGGACATCCACGGTTTTTGAGGCGTGGTTCAGATGGAGAGGTTGGTCGTCTTTGCGCTTCGATGCCAACAGACCTGTGAGAGCAAAGGCGTTAGCCGACAGGTGAGCCCTCCAGGATCCTGTCAGACGGAGCACTGGGTTCCTTACCCTCACCATCCTGCTCCTCCACTGAGGCGAAGCCGTTGACCATCTTCTGCCTGCTGACAGGCGGGGGGGTGGGAGGCAAGGAGGCCGGCGGTGTGGGGGGGTTACTGAGGTTATTCTGCAAGAGGAAGCAGAGACACAGCAGGTGAGAGCGCGCCAGGTGCAGAGCGTCTCAGCGGGGGCGGGGTGGAGGGGTACCTTGTAGATGAGCTGTGAATAAAAGTCGGAGACGCCATCCAGGGCGGCGTTCCCAAAGGAGCCACTGAGACGGGACTCTCTGCCAAGCGAGGAGTTTCCGTAAGGGGGGAAAAGGCTCAGATCCACCCCCAGGATGGGCTCCATGAGGGGCAGCTCCGACAGCTGGGGGGGGGGCAGGTCAAAGGTCAGACTGAAGACAGAGTGTAGGAACCCATCGCTCTGAAGGAAGCAGCGCACTACCTGTCTCAGCTGGGTCATCAGCGGGTCAGAATGCAGGCCCCCCTCCTCCTCCTCCTCCTCCTCCTCCTTCTTCCTCCTCTTGGACCTGGGCGGAGCTCGGTCTTTCTCCGCTCGGTTTGCTCTCTTGCTGCGCTGAATTTTCCTTAGATCAAAACCGTCCTGCAGCGACAAGTGGAGAAATCTTAGCACAGCTCCTCCTACTGAGCAGCACAACCCGTAACTACTCACCGCATTGCCATGGTAACCCGCTCCATCCTCCTCCTCAGACCGCAGACCGCCAGCGGACGGCCGGGGAGGCCCGGTAGGAGACGCCATGATGACGGGGGAAGTCTTGTCCCTCAGAAGGTGTCTGAGAAGCTCTTTCCCTCCGTCCCCCCCCTGAGCGGCAGGAGAGGAGCAACCCCTCCCACCGTCCGCGGTCTTCACAGGCCCTCCTCGACAGGACGCCGTCTCCATGTGTTCCACCTGTACAGAGGGACAGGCTGCAGTGAGGCGGAGCTTCCATCAGGCCTCCATCGGTGAGCTGCCTCACTAAACTGGGATTTATTATAGAAGCTCTTAGTGGAGCAACGCATCGTTACCGTTCCCTGATCCACGGTTCGGAACGCGGATCGGCTGCCTGAAATTTACGTGGAGAGCGCCTGTTCAATCCACAGTAAAACGGAGCACTAATCATGGCTGGCAGAGGAGGGAGGAGCCTAAACACCAGCTGCATCCTTTAACTCAGGGATGACCAACAGTCGATCGCGATCTACCAGTCGATCGCGGTCTACCAGTCGATCGAGATCTACCAGTCGATCGCGATTTACCAGTCGATCACGATCTACCAGTCGATCGTGGGCGGAGTTTCAGTCGACTGCGAGAAGTTTCACAATGTAGACCTATTTATGGCTATGACAAAAAAAGTTTTAAAAACTACTAATCAAATTATGACAAGTGGCAAACGTCTATTTTCATAACTATCCATCCTTCCATCCATCCATCCATCCATCCATCTTCCTCCGCTTATCCGGGGTCGGGTCGCGGGGGCAGCAGCTTAAGAAGGGAGGCCCAG